TCATAAAACTTTTAATAAGGGAAAGTGATTCACATTCACCTGATGCAGCTTCTATGAGTTCTCTTTTCTCAAATCAAAATATCTTAAATAATCCAATTAATTATCATTATATTAATGCAGTCACTATAATCAATCCTGTGTTTTCTTTCTGTTTTCTCAGGACGTTTTTGTTCCGACACAGAGCCTGGAGCCTCCTCAACAGTCTGATAAGCAGTCGAAGCCTCATGAGACCCAGTCTCAACATCTGGAGACGGCACCGTTCACTTCTCCTCTGCAGCTCTGTGTGAACTCTCAGAGCAGCGGTCCTGCTCAGCAGACCTCAGTGCAGATTGAAGAAGACAGTCAGGCCACACAGATTGAGGAATTTGAAGAGCCGCCCGCCGTCGACACCAGTGACTCTGTGACTTTGTGCTGTGACCAGAGGAGCGAGAGCGTCCCCCCAATATCACAAACTAGTTCAAAAGCTTCCAACTGTGCAGAATCACCAAAACGTTACAGCGAATGTGCAAAGACTGAGCCGTCCAATCAGTCGCAAAGTTCTGATGTGCACAAAAAGACAGCTTCTTTGAATGTACGAAATGTGAATGTAAGAGACAGCAAAGGGTCGACCTCTGCCGACACGGTGTCCTGCTCTATGCCAAAGCTTGATTCCTCTGCTGTGTCTGTTAGCAGCTGTGTGCAGGAGACTCCCTGCAGTTTGTCCTCACAGTCCGTCTTCTCTCAGACGTCTGCTGTGGATGTAAGAGGAGGAGGAACGACAAAGAGTCGATCCGTAGAATTAGTTTCACAGACTAACAGCGACGTGATGGATCAGTTGGAGGAGGTGATGGAGGAGGTGATGGAGGAGGAAGAGGAGGAGAGTGCAGCAGGAGGCGGGGCTTCAGGAATGGCTCTTGCTCTCTCTCAGAGTCAACTGATGTCCCCTGAGCCAATGGAGGACGAGAGTGAAGAGCAGGGAGCTGACAGCATCATCGTGGTTACAGACAGCGAGAAACACTCCCAGATTCTGAAGAAGGACGTGACCAACAGCTCCCAGCCAATCCGAGCCAATGTGGCCGCCTCCACCAACGGCCACGAGTCCCAGTCTCGGGCGAAGAAGGTGAACGCGGCACCTGATAGGTTGTCCCAGACGGAGAGGGCGGGGCCTGAACCAGAGGCGCTCAAAGACAAGAGCCTCAGTGACAGCTCAGGAGGTAAAGTGGACGCAGACGTACTGTATCTCACCGTTCTCTCCTCACCCTGTGGCTCCCAACATGGCGGTCGAGAACCGTACAAAAAGTTTCCAGAAAGAAAATAAGAAAACAAGTAAACAATGTTTATTTTACCAGATATTCTCTAATTTAAAGCTGTTTTCAGACATGAACTGTGTAAATTATTGTCCTGACATGTTGTGTAGTCAATTGTGTGTTCGTCTTCTACGTGTACGGCTCCTCTTCTTCATC